TGAAACTTTATGGGGGTATTTTGGTCAATTTTTTTCATTGAAAATATTATTTTGATATTTTTTGAAGATTCAAACACACGCCTAAAATTTCAAGTGATTTGGATTTGTAGAAAAAAAATTAAAGTTCAAATCTGTGCCGTTGGGCTCATTTTTACTTGTGAGCCCATTGGCTCACAGGATCATTTTCTATATATATATATATATATCCATGCACATTTTGGTGAGGTGTGTAGATACTAATTGATTATCTTGGTTTTCTTGTAACAGGATCTTGTGGATGTTGATGTCTTCTTGGAAGCAAAGAATGTGATTGATGCTCTTCAGAATAAGGAAGTAGCACCTGCTTTAGCTTGGTGTGCTGAGAACAAGTCTAGGCTTAAAAAATCAAAGGTATATGACATACCAGTGGTGCATGTGAGGGTATGTTCCAGATTTCCATGTTTGTTGTCTTACCGAAGATTATTTTGTGCCTTGGATTTCAAGCAATCAAGCACTTTAAACAAGCAAGAACCCTACAACTCTCACATTTCTTTTTAGTTACTAATTTGTTTTCCACCTTCATTTTGGTTATTCATGAATATTGATTTCTTCAATGTCCTCATTGGCCCGATTGGGGCCGGCGTACTTTTTCAGGACTTGCGTGGACACTTGAAATAGATGTTTTTCTTTGTGGAACGGCATTCCATATTTTATTTCTATTTATTTTTCCAAGGTTTATCAATATCATTTGCAGGCACTTCTTCAAAGCTGTGAACCTTCGGACTTGGGCACGTTCGTTTGGATTCCAGGCCTTCTAGATTCCTCAGATCCACTTGTTTGAAATATTTGCTGTACATATCTTAAATGTATATTTTGCTGCTCTAAATGTATTTTACCAAAGCTTAAGCCATACTTAGAAACATTGTTTTTTTAGAAACATTGTTGTTTTCCATTATGGTCCCCAAATGCTACTTTGTAAATTAGTCTGTGGATTCTAATATAGCTAGTTTACATTTAAACAAGGGCTAACACCCTTCCTTGCTTTTAGTAGTTCTATTTATCCTAACTTCATTGACTAGGTGAATTGTATGAGAAGATACTGTCACCATCTTGAATTTATTTTATGTGATGCCTTGCATTTTGATTGCAGAGCAAGCTTGAGTTTGAATTGAGGCAACAAGAGTTCATTGAGCTTGTCAGAGCTAAAAATAGCATGCAAGCACTTGCATATGTTCGGAAGTACCTGGCACCTTGGGGATCCACTCACCTGAAAGAACTGCAGCATGTAGTTGCAACTTTGGCTTTTACGAGCGATACTGAATGTGAAAAATACAAGGTAATACACAATGGCTTAGTTGGGTCTTAAACCAATTGTGTTTAGGCTTCACGTTTCTTTGGCGGAACCAGGAAGATGATAGTTTCTTTTTGAGTTTTCTCAATGGTAATAGTTCATTCTTTTGTTTGTTTAGCTATATCTGGATCATAAAGATTAAGCAATAGAAACTTCATTCTGGACGTCTTAGTTGCTTTGTTTGAAGGTCATTTTGATAACTTCTCTTTTTCTTCTATGAAATAATATATCTTCCCATTTTATAATTTTTATGTGCATGTGCGGTCGTTGGATTGGGTGTCTAGAGGCTGGGGGTTGTGTTGTGTGAGTGTGCACGTGTGTGTGCGTGTGTGTGTGTGAATTCATTGGGTGTAAAAAGAGAAGGATTTCTCTTATTATTTCAAATTGAACCATTTCATTGCTATTATCTTGTCATTCTTTCCTTTAGCGTAATTCTGTTGTTAAACCTAATGCTGTTTGACTCCCCTAAACAATTGTTCCACGTGGCCTAGACCTCCTTTTCTCAATTTTGTGTTATTTGTATCAGCTTGTTGTAACATGTTTCACTTGTGTGGTTGAGGACTTCTAGGAAGATCCTCCTTGGTGGAAGCTTTAGCATCCATTTTTCATGCAATATGTTTTTACAGGTTCTGTTCGACGCGAAGCGGTGGGACTGTTTGGTTGAGCAATTTAAGCAAGAATTTTGCAGGTTATATGGCATGAGTCTTGAGCCCTTGCTGAATATTTATTTGCAGGCTGGCTTGTCTGTGCTTAAAACTCCGTATCCTCATGTACTAAGCACGAAGTAAAGAGACTACTTCCGTTAACAGTTTAAAAAAAAAGAACTAAAGAGACAACTTCAAATGTTTAATCCATAAGAAATTTTAATATTTATAGCTAGTTTGGGGTTTCAACGAAATGCATGGGATGAAAGCTGGTATATTCAATTTTCGTCTTTCACAAGCATCGGAGTTTTTAGAGTGTGGCCACACCTAATGGTTGTATAAAGTGGCATCTGGAGGAGGCCGTGAGCACAAACAGTGTGTTACCTAAAGTCCCACCACACTTGCACTGTTACATTTTTTGGGACGGCATCCATACGAGCTCTTGACATTTTTTAGAGGTAGCACATTCAGTCACTCACTTTTTTAATAATTTGCTTATCAGTGTTGTCACCCATGTTCCGGGGCAGCAGAATCAAGAACACGTTGGGGGGGGGGGGGGGGGTTGTATTAGGAAAGTAAGGCCGAGAGTGCTTACTTTAACATTTTTATAAAACCATCCTCAGTGGCCTTGTGATAATTAATATTGTTTAGTTTGTCATTTAGAGATCTCTCTGCCTTGACTTTCGTAAAGCTACTGTTATGAGGAAGATTGTACTAAGGAAGATCCTCTGTCACAAGAGAGTTTTCGAAAGCTGGCTTCATCATTGCCATTCTCGAAGCAGCACCACTCAAAGCTTGTCTGCTATATTTCAAAGGAACTCATGGATGTTGACAACCCTCCATTTGTCCTACCTAATGGCTATGTTTATAGCACCAAGGTGAACTGTTCAAAAGCCTCATATGGTTATGGAGAGATACAGGAATTGACTGGAAGTACCCTATGGTGTAATATTTTATTCGATTTAACATCTCACTCGGTTTTTCTGATTTTGCAACAGGCTATGGCAGATATGGCCAAGAAAAATGGTGGGAAAATTACTTGTCCAAGAACAGGTTTGGTTTGTAACTTTACAGATCTTGTGAAGGCATTCATTTGTTAAGATCCCAGAGAAGACATGGTGTGCCAATCACTTCAAAAAATTTTGAGGGTGATTGTCTGACCTTGGGGTGTCTCCAATTTGAAATTAATGGCGGTTGATTGGCATGTAAACATATGTATAATCTAGGAAAGAATCCATTGTACCATTCAATCCACCATCTGTTTTATTATCCTTATTTTTCCTTCCAAGGAATGGGAGATGGTCAAGCAATTGTTCTCCGATTTATGAATTGATGTGTAAATATAGTAGGTTCTAATCTCCTTGAGATCGTTCTTCTATGGGAATAAAAATGCGGTTCACAGAATTATCCAGGGCTTTTTATTTCAGAGGCAAAGATGGGTGATCTTCTGATGAAATTCAATTTTCATATTACAAAAAGGACTGGCACAACTTTTCCAGTAGAAAAGATATGTTTACCATTTTTTTCAGTGATAGGATGCTCAAGGTTTTCAAAGTTCAAACCCAAAACCTAATGATTGGGATGAAGATCTATGTACTTAGCTTTACCAATTTTGGCGCGTGCACATTTTGCTAGCCTTGATGTCTCAAAAGTGGGTGATAAAAATGACTTTCATGTCAGCCATGATAACCCTAATTGAGTGTGGTTGCACAATATGTGGTTCCCATTGTATGTTTTCAAGCTTTTATCTTTTTACAGCAGGTCTATGGAAAAAGAGCGATTTTTCCATGAAATTATTTATCTTTGTTATAAGGAGGTAACAATTATTCCTAGCCATTAAATGTCAAATTGGATGGTTAGGAGTATCACAAATTTGAGAAATTTTGTTTTTAAAATTTTGATTCTAGCCAATGATATTTTTGCAACTATCTGATTTGAAATATGATGGAGAACAATAATTACGACCTTCTTGTATTAAAAATAAATAGGTGCGGTTTGTATAGAGCTTAGGCTCTAAACAATCAAATTAGAGTTTACTTTCAAAAAGTATCTAGGAACGTGGTTTTTTTATTGGAAATCTTTGTGATAGCTTTAAAATATATCTTTATATTTATTTATAAAACTTAAAGCTTCAAAAATAGTGTAGATCATCGATTTATGAAAACTTGAAAATCTTGAAAATTGATGGTGCAAATTTGCGTTATAAAATACGCTATTTTCAAAACTTGAAATCCATTTTTTTCTCATATCCATGTATCTGAATGTTGAGATGATCAATTTGAAGATATTTGGGCATCAAAACAACCTCTTCTAGTGAAATTTTTGAAGTAAGCTCAAAGTTGAATGTTTAGAGCCTAGGCTCTATATGAACTTTTTTGTTTGCAAGCTTCTCATTGAGTTTAATATATGGTAATCTACAAACACGGCATAGAATGCTGAAATGGGCACAAGCGGGTTTTCTTTTCGATACAAATAGAGAGAAACTATTTTATGCAGGTTAGTTGTTGTAAATTATCAAGGGAAAATATCTATGTACTCTTTATTTTTAATAAGATTTATATCTTCATAGATTCAAAGTTTCAAAACATATCTTGAAACATAAAAATCTTATGTTTTATATCTTCTAACCTTTAGTTAGGCTTTACACAATTTAATTTTATTGTTTTAACCCAAACAAATTATTTAAAGACAATCAATTTTAAATTTCATCCACTCTCTCTTTACTGGACATTCTAATTTCTCTTTCTCTCTCTCCCAAAACCCCTTTTCTCTCCCCATATTTTTCCCACCCAATCTTTTTTCTCTTTCCCCATGTTTCTCACCTCTCTCCTTATAACTTGGAGAAAGCCGCCTATTCAGATCTACTGAATAAATCATTGTTTTGAATAAATCATTGTTTTGCCCATAGAGACATTTTTTTTGCAACTTTTTGATGATAAATTGCTCTAGGTTTTTGGATACATATCCTTAAAATCCCATTGCATAATCCATTTCCTTCCCTTTTTTCATTAGATTTTTATGTAATTATATAAGGGAAAAGTTTGTATAGAATCGAGGCTCTAAACAATAAAATTTGATCCTACCTCAAAATTTTCATTAGAAGATGTTGTTTTGATTCTCAAATATCTTCAAATTGATCATCTCGACATCAAGATGCATGGACATGAAAAAAAAAAAAAGCTAGTTTTAAAAATAGTATATTTGGTAACGCATTTTTGGACTGTCAATTTTCAAGATATCATAGATATATCAATCTACACTATTTTTGAAGCTTTGAACTTCATAAATCGATATAAAAATATATTTTAAATCTATTACAAATATTTCCAATATTGAAACTTAATTTCTTGACGCTATTACAAAGACTTTCAATATTTAAATCTAGCATTTCAATATCTCAATATATGTTTTGAAACCTTAAGTCTACGTAGACGTGAAACCTAAAAATAAAAAGTATAAAGATATTTTTTCAATTATTAATAGCCTGAGGTGTTATTGTGGTACTTGTGGCTTGATTCTTTGAATGAAGATAATTATATCTTGCCAATAAAAATATTAATTTTTAGCACATTTTGACTTGGTATTGGATGACGAATCCTGTCTTCACCGAGGATGCGCGTGTAATTTAGATTTTGGATTCACATGACTACAGAAGCTCTGTGCTCATAGTTTCCTCACTCAGCGTTCCGCAAATGGATGCATTTGGAGAGATGAGGTCCATCATGAAGTGATGTTAACTCTCCTTCCCCTCAAAAGAAAAAAGATAAAAAAAAAGAAAAAAAGAAAAAAGAAGGAAAAATACTCATTAAAAAAGGGTCAAATTATCTTACAGAAGGTCAAAATATTCTATTTACCATCTAGGGTTTACTTTGTAAGGTTATGTAAAATTCTCAAATTACCCGTTTTCAGAGGTGAGGATATGAACAATTAGGAGTGAACAATTAGGAGTATTTTGGTAATCTATTCCACTTGACTCAAGTCAAATTAAAAAAAAAAATAGCGGTGGTTGTTTAGAGTTAGGATCATGAAATTGCTAAATGATGAGAATACCCCTTAGTATATAACGGAAAAAGTTTATACAAGGGTGAAGCTTTAAACAATCAAATTAAGGCGCACCTCAAAAATTCAGTAGAAGAGATTGTTTCGATGTCAAAAAATCTTCTAATCGATCACTTTGACCTCAAGATGTATGGATATGAGAAAAATTGATTATAAGCTTTGGAAATAGTACATCTTGTAATGTATTTTTTGAACTGTCAATTTTCTAGATCTGCTCGATCTACATTATTTTTTAAGCTTTAAATATTATAATTAGAGAAGAAAATTTTTTAGGCCATTACAAAGATTTTCAATATTGAAATAACATTTTTCAACACCATTTGATTGTTTGGGGCCTTAGCCTTATACAAACAGCACTGTTATATAATTTTAACTTTGGACAATTATGGGAATTATAATATTTTGCCGGTTTTGGGGGGGGGGGGGGGTAGCAACTGGGGCCAACTTGCTCGGACTGGCCTAGAACTCATGTTTGGGCCCCTAAATTTGGCCCAATGGCTGGGCCTAAGCTTGAAATCTCAGACTGGTATTTTGGTTGCGCTAGGCCTAGGGCAGGGGCTGTGGCCTAGGCCTAGGTCGACCTTTAATAAATTTATAATTTTTTATAAAAAATTTCTTCTGGAGAGGAAACAACAATGCAAAAAAGTTTCATCTTGTGAGTTGAGACGAAATATGTGCAACCAAAGGAGATGAGAGTCTTGGTGTTATGAAGTTGAAAGCAATGAATAAGTTTATTATGATCAAACGGTGGTGGCGAAGTTGTCAAAGTTTACTAGGGAAGGGCATATTAATGGCAAAATATGGGGTGGATAATAATTTTATATTGATTGGGGATGAAAAGGGAGGCCCGCATCATAAATATTTGGAAAGCAATGCAAATAATTTTTTATGAGAAATTTGAGATAGATGGTAGGAAAAAGGAGACAAAACTTTATTTTGGAATCACAAGTGGGTGGATGATGTTGGACTAAGGGTTTAATATCCAAATGTATATAAAATTTGTGATATTCACATCGTCAAGTTTGTCGTCAAATCGCCTTATATGTTGCTTTCTAATCAAAGATTAAGATGGTATGGAATCATATGGGAAGGATGTCGAAATGGCCGATCCCTAACAAAATACATGCTTTCTTAAAGGTAATAAGCGGTTGTGCGCAGAAGCTCTAAACCCAACGAGTTGATTTTTTGGTGAATAAAGTATGAAACACAAACACAAAAATACAAATATTTACGTGGTTCATATCAGAAGGGCTACATCCACGGGTACGGCCTATTGAAATACATTATACCAATAGAAGTAACATCAACTATTTTAGAACAAATCTCGACAAAAACACAGTTGAGCAAACCCTATTAAAGCACTATCCTTTCATTATCTTTACTTCTAGCAACCTTTACCGGCAACACTAGATAGAGACCCAAGAGCAACGAGAAATTTACTTTCTCTCTAACTAAAAGGGGAAAGAACCCAAAATCTCCACAAGAACCGCTTCTCTACAAGAAACAAATCTCTCACTCTACATGAGTCTTTAGGAGGCACCATCAATTTTTTTCTTTATAGGAAGCTCTATTCTCTAAGAGGAAATTGCATTTTATGTACAGATGGTTCTGCCTCCCTCTCTCTATAGAGGAACCACCATTCCTATATGGTGATCCAAGTTGGGCACACAAATTCTCTGCACTTTCAGTCAATATATATAAGTTAGGAATCCACACAAAATAGGAAACTTTATATAGCTATTACATATATTTAAAATCAAAAGAGATATATCCAAAAGTCCTAATCTTTTTGGATATCTATTTCATTTAGAAAACTTATCAATATTAACATCATATAATAAGGAAATATCTCAATCCCACATAATATGAGAAAATCTTAATCCTACAAAATATGTGATTTCCTTATGTGGTTGATTTTAGATAACACCAAATCCAACATAAGCATGGGTAAAGTGATGGTTGTGGATCAATTAAGGGAAAAAAAAAGATAGGCATGGTTAATATTTGTTTGATGTGTAAAAATGATGATGAAAATGGGTACCATCTTTTTCTTAGTTCTCATTTGCGTAAGACATTGTTCTTGTAGAAGTCAGTAATAGAAATTGTACAAGGATTTCAAAGTTGACATCCTATTAAATATTGATAGTGTGTTGAAAATGGGTGTACATAATTACAGAGCTACACATAGATGGTATCCACGTCCTCAGGGCTCATTGAAGTTTAAACTTTGATGGTAGCTCGTTTGGCAATCCTTGGCTGCTGGTGTAGGAGGCTTGATCAGTGATCATATAGGATTATTAATCCTTGGCTATTCGGGACCTTGTAGCAGTGCAACTACTAACTAG